ATACCTTAGGTTTATTATATACATGTTATATAAAAGTGCCCTGGCATTTAGCAAGAGGGGAATTTAGAGTGAAGGTGTGGCAGAATGTTCCACCTGTATCCCTGCAAGATTTCAAATTTGCAGGGAGAGAATAGCAAGGCATTGTGATCTCATGTCAACCTGTCCACGCCCTGAGGTCATCTACGAGGTTGAAAGATTTGAGATGGGCAAAAGGAGGAACTTATTCACAAAGCACATTGTTAAACACTGGAACTCTCTTCCACAGGAGGCAGCAATGACCACCAACTTGGATGGCTTTGAAAGAGGATTAGGGAGCTTCATGCAGGGCAAGGCTGTCAGTGTCTGCTAACCAAAATGGCTGTGTTGTTCCTGTGTTGTTGGAGAAATCATGTGCCTGAATACCAAGTGCTGGGAGGGCAGAGGGCTCTTGTGCTCGAATCCTCCTTGCTGGGTCCCCACAGCCATCTAGTTGGCCACTGTGAGAACAGGATGTGGGCTAGATGGGCCAGTGGTCTGATCCAGCAGGACTCTTTGTGTTTTAGAGCAGGGGTCAGCAGACTTACCACGCCTCGGGCTGGTGTCTCCAGCACTGATCGCGCGGCAGGCCAGAGGGCAGGGGAGCGTGAGCCCATACGTGTGCGCACACGGCATTTCCGGCGCACTTCTGGGTCGGAGGAGCACCGGAAATAACTTGTGTGCATGTGCATGGGCCTCCTCCAACCCAGATGTGCACCCGAAATAACGCTTGCGCATGTGCACAAGCTATTTCTGGTGCTCCTCCAACCCGGAATTGGGCAGCCGCGCAGCACAGCATCAGTAAGAGCGGGCAGCGGCAGAAGGCCACGGGGGTTGCCATGGGCCAGATAAACGAGTCCCTCGGGCCTTATCCAGCCGATGGGCCTTAGTTTGGGGACCCCTGTTTTAGAGGCTCCATCCTCTAGCAATCCCATCCTCAGACATGAAATGGATGGTGAAGGGAGAAAGAGAACCTTCTCAGCTGTGGCACCCAGCCGTTGGATCTTTCTGCCCAGGGAAGCTCTCCTGCTGTCTCCCTTTCTAATTCGCTTGGAGCCAGTCAAAGTCTCTTTTATTACCCAGCACATTTTAAACCTTTCAATCATTTACACACAGCTTACGCTTGCTGCATTGACATTATGAGCTACCGGACCCAATTCGCGGCATCAGCGTTGCACACTGTGGCCTTGCCCTCCATGGTGAGCAGGTTTTACTACCCCAAATTGCAGGAGCGTAAACAGCAGAGATGCATTCTCCATGACACCCACAAAGCCCTGTTTCTTTGTGGTCTTGCTTCTCAAAGCAGCCTACCTACTTATCTCCCATTTCCTGCTTGTACATTTTGTCCTCAGCTCCATTTAATGCTCTTAGTTTCTCCTTGACCAAGGTCACTTCATTACTGCTAGTCCAGCTCACCACTCGCCTGTCAAAGGCAGTGATGCTTCTGAATACATCTGTTTGAGGACCGGGACATTTGCTGGGAAAGCAAAATGCTTGTTTACAAAGCTATTGTTCTACCAACCTTACTATATGCTTGTGAAACATGGACTGCTTATAAACGCCATCTCCAACTCCTTGAAAGATTCCATCAACGGTGTCTCCAAAAATTTTACACATCACTTGGGAAGACAGGTGAACTAATATCAGTGTCCTGGAAGAAGCAAAGATCACCAGTGTTGAATCAATGATTCTTCAACATCAACTTCGTTGGACTGGTCATGTTGTGCGGATGCCTGATGATCGTCTTCCAAAGCAACTACTCTATTCCGAACTTAAAAATGGAAAGCGTAATGCTGGTGGTCAACAAAAGAGGTTTAAAGACTGTCTCAAGGCAAATCTTTAAAAATGTAGTATAAACACTGACAACTGGGAAACACTGGCCTGCGAGCACTGCAATTGGAGAACAGCCTTTACCAAAGGTGTCATGGGCTATGAAGATACTCGAACTCAGGACGCGAGGGAGAAACGTGCTAGGAGGAAGGCACGCTTGGCAAATCCACACCGTGATCAACTCCCACCCGGAAACCAATGTCCCCACTGTGGAAGGATGTGTGGGTCCAGAATTGGCCTCCACAGTCACTTATGGACTCATTGTTAAAATCATGTTTATGGAAGACAATCTTACTCGGCTATGATTTATCTCCAAATAAGAAGAAGAAGAAGAAGAAGAAGAAGAAGAAGAAGAAGAAGAAGGACTCGATAAGCCTTTGGCCATATCTAGCAAGGGTGTTCTGATGATCTTATGTTCTCCACTCGACAGAGAAATACGTGAGTCATCCTAGCATCTCTGCAAATGTTCAGAAAAGCACCTGCATACCAACGGCACCCTTGCAGGACCAGGCCACCAACTGGGCAGGTGGACACCTCCTGCCACGAGTGGTAACAGCAACATTAGGAACTTTGGGGACACTCCATTATGTAAATAAAACTCTGCAAATTTTGGCCAAGCCCATCTGTTTCTATAGTGCAGGGTTGGAGCAATCAATTGGAGCTGGACTCCAAAACCCATCATCCCTTGCCAGCATGGCCACTGTTCAGGGTTGATGGGAGTTGTATGAGGTTCTTATAAGCATCTTATATACAATTCAGAATTCCTTTTCAGGCCAACCAAAAGAAGATTCACAAAACAGAGATTAAAATCTGGGTGTCCCGTTGTCAGAGTTCTGTTGGGATCACACCAGCGCAAGTATGCACACAGAGAGTTGTTCCCATGGACTTATTTCAGGAATATTTTGGTTTGTCTGGCTTTGAGGTCCTGAGTTGCGCATGCCATAATTGTTTTGGCATTGTATATGTTATTTAAGAGTTGATGTATTAGAAGGTGTTGAAATGTGGCACATTATTGTGAATCAGTTTTGTAAACCGCATACAGAGTTGTTTAGTTTGGGAGTTGTAGTCTGGCAACACCTGTAGCCTTGCAGGTTTTCCCTCCTTAGGATGGCTTTCCAAAAGCCTGCAACAGCTATTTGAAAGAAGGGGGAACCACAGAGCAAAAGAAGAAAGCAGTTCTCCATCTGCTCCTCCAAAGGTCCAGCTGCATTGGGCCTCCTCTACCTCAGCTGTCACCTGGTAGCACCCATCCCAATAGGCTGCCTAGCTGGGAGAGATGGGAAGCCGTGCTGTTCCAATGCCAGCTCCCCTAGGCATCTCCTGCCCCAAACTGTTTCCACGGCAAGATCTACTATTTAACTTTAATAACTGGTGCCCAAGTTTTCTTCCCCTCCCCTCTTCTTCCTTCCCTGTCCTTCCTTCCTTGTGTGTCGTGTCTTTTAGATTGTAAAAGACAAGGACTGTCTGGTCCGAATTGATTGCATGCCAGTCGCCTGGGGGTAATGGGGAACAAATGCTATATATAAATAAATGTATCATGCACTTTCAAAGCCCTGAAGGGCTTTTGTCTGTCTGCATCCTCGGCTCATCACCACAGACCTGCAAAAACTCCCTTCCTGATTTCTGTCACAGCCGCCATGCTTGGGCTCAGTATTCTGCACTCTGATGCTCCACCGACTCAGGTGGGAGCCACTGACACATTCAAAGCGCTTTGCATTTCCCCCTTTCCCACAAGTCCAGCTGTGCTTGTGATTTACACTTCTGAGTTTTCTTAAGTGGAGCTATTTCAATCTCTTCCTGACCAGTAGCCGATTCCCACCCCGCACCCCCAAGCCTTCCTCTGCCAAGGCCATCTTCCAATTGCCCATAAAACCGGGAGGAATTTTCCACCATTTAGCCTACGTGAGATATTTACAAATTCAGCCTCCCCTCCAGTTTCTTGTTGATTCAGGGCTTTTAGTTTGTATTTGCCCGCAAAATAATTAGCTCAGAACAAAGGGGCAGCAGTGAAGCCAGGGGAGGGAGAGATTTAGGGCCTGTCTGCATCCCCAGCCTCCAACCAGAAGGCCACCGAGGCTGTAAAAAGTGTAGAACTGCTAAAACGCGGATCTTCCACAGCTCATGGGGAGTCTTCACATTACCAGGGATGATGCAAAAGTGAAATTTGCAGGGCTAAGGATGGATGAATTCTTCCATTTCTGGACTATGTAACTTTAGCACTTAAGGCCACTCATAAGTCTGCCCCAACCTGTTTCTGCTTTTATTTATTCTTTTAAGAAAAGATCTGTATTTAAAAATTGCATTTTTAAAAAATCGAGTGAAGAACTGTATTTAAATCATTCAGGAGCAGGCACACAATCCATTCAGTAACTCAACTGATCCACTGATAATTCTGGGAGTGGCAGGTTCAGGTTAGTCCATACTGGAATCTGCAAAGATCAAATTCCTTAGGGATCACCGAGGAGGCTTGAGAAATGCCTGACTCTCAGGTTTGCTGTGGGGATATGTAAGATTATATGTGGTGAGTGGCATTCAACTAAGTTTTACTCTGAGTATAGACCCACTGAGTTAGGCCCTTTGACTTTAATAAGTTAAAACTTGGTTGAACACAACCCAATCTTTTTTAATAATACTAATAGGATGGTTTGGAAGAGGATAAGACAACTTTGTGGAGGCCTTTAAGGCTAGCAGTGGATAGCAAACCTGATGGCTATGCTGTGTCTCCTCTGTCACCATGACTCTGAATGTCACCTGCTGAAAACTGCAGGTGGGCAGAGCGCTGTGGCGCTCAGGACTTGTTAGCAGGCTTCCTTTTGAGGCATCTGGTTGCTCCCTGTGAGAACAGGATGCTGGACTAGACGGGCCACTGGCCTGATCCAAATGGGCTCTTTTCATGTTGTTCATGAAATTCTGATCCAAGTGAAGCCAAACTCTGCAGGAAGATGCAGTGATGAATCATAGAATCGGAAAGAACCATGAGGGCCATCTAGCCAGGGTTTCCCAAGCTTGGATCTCTAGAAGTTTTTGGACTACAACTCCCATCATCCCTAGCTAGAAGGGCCAGTGGTCAGGAAGAATGGGAATGGTAGTCCAAAACACTTGGAGACTGAAGTTTGGGAAACTCTGAGTAGTCCAAACCCCTACAATGCAGGAATCGACATGGGACTTGAACCCACAACCCTGAGATTAAGAATCTCATGCTCTGCCGACCAGCGTAGGTCATCTCAAATAAATTTATTTATAGCCCACCTTTCCTCCAAGGAGCCCAAGGTGGGGTGCCTAGTACTCCTCCTCCCAGTTTTATCCTCACAACGTCCCTGTGAGGTTAGGCAAGGCTGGGAGGTAGCTACTTCCTAAGGTCATACATTGAGCTTCATTGCTGAGTGGATATTTGAACCCTAGAAATGATGTACATCTGGTTGTTGTTGTTATTGTTTCTTCTTCTTCTTCTTCTTCTTCTTCTTCTTCTTCTTCTTCTTCTTCTTCTTCTTCTTCTTCTTCTTCTTCTTCTTTAGCACAAGGAAAAGCAAAGAAGCCAAACTCTTGAGGCTTCTGTTCTGCTTGACTTCCATTCTGTTTTCTGCAATTCCACTACTCATTTTGCTTACTCATTTTCAAGACAACCTTCATTGCCTTAAAGGTAAAGGTAAAGAGACCCCTGATCATTAGGTCCAGTCGTGACCAACTCTGGGGTTGCAGCACTCATCTCACTTTATTGGCCAAGGGAGCCGGCGTACAGCTTCCAGGTCATGTGGCCAGCATGACTAAGCCGCTTCTGGAGAAACAGAGCAGCGCACGGAAACGCCGTTTACCTTCCCGCCAGAGCGGCACCTATTTATCTACTTGCACTTTGGTGTGCTTTCGAACTGCTAGGTTGGCAGGAGCAGGGACTGAGCAACGGGAGCTCACCCCTGTTGTGGGGATTTGAACTGCCGACCTTCTGATCAGTAAGTCCTAGGCTCTGTGGTTTAACCCACAGCGCCACCCGCATCCCTTGGGAACTTGGGAAGTGTGTGAGAGAGATTGGGGACATGTGGAATCCATACAGCCTTGAATCTGAGGGCCGTGGGCACTGAAAGAGTCTGGCTCCTTCCTTACACCCCAAATGCTCTCCCCTAGCTTATTCCTCTTCAGAAGGCAACGAGTAGCAGGAGAAGGACATGACTTGGCTAAAACCGGAGTGAATCAGGAGGTGGGTTTCATTAACAGCCTTCCTAGATTTCTCCCCATAATTCAAGCACCAGGATTGCAATGCTGGGCTGTATGAATGAATGAATGAAACTGTTCTCTCTTATTATCCAAGGCCCCAGCACTCATCAGCTGAACAACACAGCTATTAATCACCCCTTGCACACGCATGCGTGCCAACAAACACACATGACACAACTTTTCGCGTGAGCACAAAAGCCCAGACACCCCTGCCGACAAAACACTCATTTCCTGCTCTTTGGCCCCTTGGGCTGAGCCAACGGCACTGAATCTGCTTCCTGCCTTGGAAGCCAGGAGCTGCTTCAGCCCCGTCTGAACAGCTAGCCTGCACAAACAGCTCCCAGGTAAGGGACAAACAGCCTCCACCGTCTACCTCCCCTGTTGGACACAGTATGCTTCAGAGCCCTGCTTTTGTGGGATTCCCAGAGGCATCTGGCTGGCCCCTGCGAGTTCCATCAGAGCTCTTAGGAACATAGGGATCTTCCTTATACAGAGCAAGACCCATCTAGCTCAGTTCTGTCCACACTGGCTGGCAGAGACTCTCTGGGATTTCAGACTTTTTTGTTATTTATTTTATTTATTAAAAGGCCTGGTTGAAGAGGAACGAAAGTGCCAGGCAAGTCTCCCTGGGGAGAGCGTTCAACAAGGGGGGAGCCACCACAGAAAAGGCCCTATTCTCATGTTGCTGCTGTCTGCTTCTCCCATGGAGGGGGCACACAAAGAACAGTCTCAGGTGATGAGCGCAGGGTCCAGGTCATTTCATATGGAGTTCTCTCCCAGCCGTACTTGGAGATGGAAACTGAGATTAAACCTGGGCTCTTCTGCATGCAAAGCAGATGCTCTAACCATTGAGCTATGTCTCCTTTGGTTCTTAATCCTGATGAGGGTTCTAGTTCCTGTGTGCCAGCTGACAGGTCAACAGGAGACAGCCAGACCTCTCTGAAAGCGACAAATGCAAAATGCAGACATATAACTGTCTGCTGATTCCAGCACAAAGGGGAGGCAGGAACAGAGGCAAGAGGGTTTAAAAAAAGCATAGCAGTGTCCATGGAGGCAATGGAGGCAAAAGTAAAACCAAAGTCTTGTGTATTTATTTCCTTACATGTATATCTTCTCTTCCTTTAATGTAGAACCCAGGGCAACATACAGTTTGTTCCTAAGCCGCCTCCCATTCAGACCCAGCCCTACTTCTCTTGAGAAAGTAAGCTTTATAGGAAAGATTGGTGCAGATAGCTCCTTGTACGTGTGCCAGAAGGATGGCAAGCCAGGGAGAAAGGTTAGATTAGGAACAGCGGAAAAGAGAACCCTGCCGAGCACACTGTGAATCAAGTATCAAATATGAAACACCAAAGTGGGAAATGTGATGGGGCAAAAAGAGGGAAGGAAAACCAGGTGTTCTATAACTTTCAGGCACACCGGGATGCTCTCAGCTCCCTGGACCCCTGCCAGTCCATTGCACCTGCAGAGATGGCCAAAGATCAATAAGCAAATTGCAACCTATTGATTCTGTTAAGACCTTTCGGCGCCCTTTAACGCCCTTGAGCAGAAACTGCTGGTTGTAACAAAACCACAACAGTGGTGCTTTGGTACCTGCCCTGCAGCAGCTTCCTGAAGCCATTGAGGATATTATAGTCACTAGAGGAGGACATAGACCAGGTCCCTGCATGCCTGAGCCCCTTGTGCTGAGCCAATGAAAGCAACAGAGCAGAGGGCAAAATACTATCCATTTTGGTTTGCAGCATGGCTCCACCCCTGACGGCCCATTGACCCAGCCCAGCTTTAAAAGCTTCCAGTTTATGCCTTGGCAACAGTCCACTTTAGGCCTTGCCAGATCCCTTCCTTCTTGCAATTGCCTACAGCCTGCTACTGTTTATCCCATACCCCACAAGTGTCCCGAAAATCTGGGACATCACATTTTGTGTCATGAGAGAACGGTGGCTATTTTGGTTGTCATGTTCTCACGTGATTTCGTGGCATGATTTCCCTTGAAAAAGGTGCCTTTGGGGGGAGGGCAAGCATTTCTCTTCCTTTCGGTAGCCTTGAACTTGGCATGCTCGCTTGCACCAGTAGACAGTGATGTGGGGAGTCTGGTGTGTCAGGCTCAGGTATCCCTGAGGGTCTTTGCTCTGGTTCTGCATCAGCCTTGAGACTCAGTTTCGGGAACCCAATCCAGTGTCTCTTGCCTTTGTCCATGGAGTTTTCTTGGCAGGGTGTTTTCTTGGACGGTGTTCTCGAAGCTACAAACATGAGTCTGACCAAACTGCGGGAGGCAGTGGAGGACAGGAGTGCCTGGCGTGCTCTGGTCCATGGGGTCACGAAGAGTCGGACACGACTAAACGACTAAACAACAACAAATCCAGTGTCTCAGAAAGTGGTACAGCAACCCTGGACTTCGCTGGCTCACCCTCTGGGTCCACAATGCCAGGTGACTTTGTGGGTGGGTGAGAGGAGTTGTCCCCCGGCTTAAATTCTAATCTGAGCCGGAGAAGAACTCTGGGGCCATAGCACTCAGCCATGTATTAAAAGTGAACACGACGAGCTGCCAGTGTTCATATTCTGAGGTTCGAACTCATGGACCTCAGCAGCCTGGCTAGCGGGTCGCCATGGCAATAATTGCTCGAGATCGCGAAGTGGAACAGCAAAACAGGATTCCTCCAGAGGCTTCCATGCAGACCCAGTGTCAGCTGCTTTCCTTGTCATTCCTCCTCATCCTAAAAATAACTTTCTGAAAAGACACCGTAAGTCTCCTGTACTCTTTCCTTCGAATGAGACTGCAAAGGTTGCCCTGGACTTCATGTCAATCAGTGAGAAAGGAGAGAAGAAATGCACTTAGCACAATGATCAAATCCAACTATGAACAGTTGCAGGGGGTGGGGAGTGGGGAGGGAGGGAGCAATTCTTGACTCTTCCTGATTCACTGTGTGACAGTGGCATTTTTTCATGCTTTCACCCACTTCTGCTTCTGGCAGGGCTAGCTAGCACCATTCCAGGGGATAAAATAATGCAGAGGGAAGCCAGTTACCCCAAAGAGTTCTGCCTGTCTAGTTGCCATGGAGGGAGAGAGCTTTAAAAATATATATGTATCATGGCGAGGAAGCGCTTACTCAAACTACAGTCGTACCTTGGTTCTCGAACACCTTGGTACTTGTACGTTTTGGCTCCCGAATGCCAAAAACCTGGAAATTCCGGTTTTCAAACGTTTTTCAGAACCCGAATGTCCACCGCAACTTCCACTTGAGTGCAGGAAGCTCCTGCAGCCAATCAGAAGCCACGCCTTGGTTTTTGAACGTTTCGGAAGTCAGAACGGATTACATTCGAGAACCAAGGTTCCACTGTACCTCTTTAGTGAGCATTCTTCCTGATTTCCTTGTACAGTCATACCTCATGTTGCGTCTGCTTCATGTTACGTTCTTTCAGGTTACGTCCCACGGCGACCCGGAAATACCGGAAAGGGTTACTTCCAGGTTTCGCCACTTGCACATGCACAGAAGCGCAAAATGACGTCACACGCATGCACCGAAGTGGCGAATCACCACCAGCGTGTGTGCAGATGTGCTGCTGCAGATTGCGTTCTTTTCATGTTGCGAACAGGCCTCTGGAATGGATCCCGTTCGCAACCAGAGGTACCACTGTATAGCCACTATTCAATAATAGCAGGCAAATTCCGTCTGACCTGGAAAGTGCACCTCCTATCCATGGTTGCACCAGCCCATCCAATGAAGAAAAAAAAAGTAAAAAATAATTTATAAATGAAACGCACAAAAACCATCTCCACACACCCACCCCATGGTTTCCAGCAACTGGTACCCTGAAGCATTGCTGCCTCCATCTGTGGAGGTAGAGCATAGCCATCATGCCTAGTAGCCTTTGGTAGCCTCTCCTCCATGAATTTATCCAATCCAGGTTGCTGGCCATCACTGCCCCCTGTGGCAGTGAGTTCCATAGTTTAAACTATGTGCTGCGTGAAGAGGAACTTTCTTTTTTTCTGTCCTGCATCTTCCAACATTCAGCTTCATTGGATAACCACAAGTTCTAGTATCACAAGAGGGAGCAAAACTTTTCTCCATCCTCTGCCTCCATGCCTTGCATAATTTTATCAAATCCAATCACCTCTTACTTGCCTTCTCGCTAGACGAAAAAGCCCCAAGCACTCCTCTTCATGGAGGACTTGATCCACCTCCTTGATCATTTGGGTGTCCCTTTGCAGAAGCTCTTCCAACTCTGCAATATCCATTTTGAGGTGGGGCAACCAGAGCTGTACATGGTACTCCAAATATGGTTCATTCATTCAGGTGAAGGTAAAGGACCCCTGGATGGTTAAGTCCAGTCAGAGGTGATTGTGGGGTTGGGCACTCATCTCACTTTCAGGCCAAGGGTTTGTCCACAGACAGCATGTGGCCAGCATGACTAAATCACATCTGGTGCAACAGAAGCCAGAACGCAAGGAAATGGCATTTACCTTCCCGCCACAGCGGTACCTATTTATCTACTTACACTGGTATGCTTTTGAACTGCTAGGTTGGCAGGAGCTGGGACCGAGCAATGGGAGCTCACCCCTTCGTTGGGATTCGAACCTCCAACCTTCTGATCAGCAAGCCCAAGAGGCTCAGTGGTTTAGACCACAGTGCCATCCACGTCCCTTCATTCATTCATGGTTGCACCAGAGGAGAGAACAGCATGAGTTTCACTTGCACAAAGCTTCTGCAGAGCAGAGGTTCAACTGTGTCCAGCCTTATTGAGCATTCATTCTGATTTGCTTGCAGGGAGCCTATGTGACAATGAGCATTCATCCTCAGTTCATTTGCATGCAGGGTGTTTTATTTCTCTTTCTGTTAATCATTCGTTCATCCCACACTATTCCATGCATTTCCCCTTAGTGCAAAAAGTCTGTTGTTTTTGAAAGTGTGTTTGGTGCAACCAAGTGCTTTAACCCACTCTCAGTGCTTGAATACCTCCCACAAAATAGTGACAGTCTGGAGGCAGCAGGAGATAATACACACACAAACACACACACAGAGAGAGAGAGAGAGAGAGAGAGAGAGAGAGAGAGAGAGAGATGGTTTATTTACTTTCCAAGTGCCAAAATTATTTGACGGAGCCAAATTGGCTCAGCCCATCTCAGCGTGATTTAGATAATATCCTCCTGCACGACTGTTATATCTGCTCCTTGTCAAATGAAGTCCGGGAAAGGGAGGCCCAGGACTCATAGAGGTCAGGAATGGGATGGGTGGGAATGGATTTCAGCTGGGAAATTCCTTGCTGGTGTGAAAAATAAATATGCACTGAAGTGAAATAGGGCTTCGGTGGACATAAAGCGGAACACCCCCACCCCACTCTGGGCAGTAGCTTCACATGCTTGTCTGGCCTCAGCCTCTGGCCTCTCAAATTTCCTGACATCAAAACAGGATTATTGTGGACCTGGATGATGGCAGGGGTCCCGAGTTCAGGTTGTCCTGGGCAGCTGCTTCGAATCCCCAGAATGGGAATCTGCTGCAGACACCATGGGCGTGGAAGGAGGTTCAGCTGATAGCAGTGCACTGAGGTTGCCCAGCCATCCTGTAAAATTTTGGATGTTCTGCCTATGAAGGAAAAGCTGTCTGTTCCAGTTTGGCTAGATATGGACGGCACGTCTGCCTGATAAGCAGATTCCTCATGAATTCACTTCAGGCATACTCCATCATTTGAAAAGGCCATTGCAGGCCCTCATCCTTCAGTTAACCTGATTGGCACACAGGCAAATGACACATATATCACATGAGCAGGTTGTGTTGGGAGCCATGTGCTTTAAATGTGGTATGTACACAACCCAATTTTTGTTTTTAGCTTCCTCTTTCCTTTTGCACTTGTTCATCTGTTTCACAAT